CAAGTATTTGCGGTATTTATGCCATTAAGGTGCGAAAAATGCGTACCCCTCTGCTGCTGATGGCAAAGCCATAGCCGGCCATAGCCGGGACATGTTCGGAAGCGCCCACCAAGACCTACCACAACAGTTCAAATTTCAGTTGAAACTTGGTGTTCGGGTGCTCTTTGGGCTGGCCAGCGCTCGTAAATGCTCGTAAATCTAATGCTCGCTCCTAGTACGATCAGGTCCCTGTCGTACTTGACCATGCAAGCGCCATACGCTTCTCCATTATATGCCAGTACCCGTATCCAGTCAGCCGCAGCAAGTCATCGTCCTTCATTGCATCGCCAGGATCAGTGCAGGAGCCTGCCCCTGTTGTCCAGTTAGATGAGCGGGATTGTCAGTTCTGGGAAGTAGAACATGTCTTCGAGCAAAAATCAACGATGTCCGCTGAAGAACTTCGTTGTGAAGAGCACTTCAAGCAGCTATATTGTAGCTGACATCCAAGTTTTTAAGCTGGATACAGTCACATTATCCATTGGGGTCCAAAGTCGTGTTGCGCGATTTATATGTTAACGACATGAAATCAGGAGGTGAGCCCGTTGAGAAGTTCAAGAAGTCATGGCAATTTTCTTCTTAGAAACTAGTGGTAAAAGCTCGAACTCTCCAGAGGTGCCCGACAGAAGCTGACAGTGGAAGTGGAAAGTGGAAAGTGGAAAGTGGAAAAGTACAAGTGGAAAAAGACAATTGGCCTAGTTCGTATTGGCCAGAAATAGTGAGCTTCCTGAAGTTCGACTAAAACAAAAGTCCACGAATGCAAAAAACACTCTTTTTCAGATCAATAGTAGGCCTTTGGGTGTAGGCATTTTCATGTACCCTCACATAAAATCAGTTCCGTTCAGTGTGTTCGCAACCTTCATACGTTTCAGATCAACTTTAAAATTTGATTCCGATTCAACATTTTTAATAGTACCAAAACAAAAATTCTGTGTTTTTTTCCATATCTAAATTCCAGTATTTAACAACATACTTTCCACAAATCTCCAAATTATTCCGTTTTTCACATTTTCTAAAACTAAACAATTTCTGGCTGGCCGAGATGACGTCTACCCTAAACGAAAAAGCCCTGGACCAGCACTTTGCGGCACAGACGCGTATGCTGGCCCAATTGCTTGGGGATCAGATTACCAAGAACGAGCACATGCTCACGCAGAAGTGGCTGCGCCACTTTAAAAGGGCCTGCAAGAACGACAAGTACGCTCGCAACTGCCTGATGTTGTTGATGTACGGACAGCTGAAGGATATGGGACGTCTGAGCGAGCCATTCCTAAACATGGACAACATGCAGTTAAGCATGCAGATGGTGCTGGCCGAGTATGACGGCGATTTGGCCGAGAAGATGGCGTCGCGCGGTAATGACCAAGCGGATAGTGGCGTTGGTACACCAACAGTGGATGGTGTCGATGGTACACAAACGGACGTACAAGCCAACGCCGGCAATACTGGTGGCGGTATCACTTGGGCTTCTCCAAGCCGAACGGTCGTGCCCGACACGGAAGCCCCGTCTATCCTACAAAGTGTGAGACAGGCAAACCAAGTGCTGCTGAATCAGATGAGGGCTGGACTGCCTTTCAGTTACCGAGCCGTCCCCATGGGACCCAGGCCGCAATACAATTTACAAATGCAGCAACCGAACCACACGCACCAACCAAGCACCATCCAACCATCACACCAACAAAACCATATAATCCAGAATAACCAACCGAACCAGCAGCATCAGCAATACCAGCTGGCACCGCACCAAAACCGAGCAAAAATCGAGCAGTACCAGCAGCACCCGCAAAACCATCCGAGCGAGCAGCACCCGCACCACCCGCAGAACCACTTGAGCGAGCAGCCCCAGCACCACCCGCAGAACCACCCAATCGAGCAGCACCAGCAGCTCCAGCACCACCCGCAAAACCATCCGATCGAGCAGCAACTGCACCACCAGCAAAACCATCCCAGCGAGCAGCACCTGCACCACCCGCAAAACCATCCGATCGAGCAGCAACTGCACCACCAGCAAAACCATCCCAGCGAGCAGCACCTGCACCACCCGCAAAACCATCCCAGCGAGCAGCACCCGCACCACCCGCAAAGTCATCCGATCGAGCAGCACCCGCACCACCCGCAAAATCATCCGATCGAGCAGCACCCGCACCACCCGCAAAACCATCCGATCGAGCAGCACCCGCAACACCAGCAGGTCCAGCCGCCCCATCAGGTCCAGAACAACCTGGTCGAAGATGTCTGGAACCTTTCACTGCAAGCCATTGGACGTTTGGAACAGTGGAGAGGAAGCGAGGATAAGCTAGGCTTCTTTTCACTCTGCCTACGCCCATTGACCGCGCAAGACCCGGAAATCCGAAGGAATATTCCGGAGCTAGATCGCAGATTGGGTATGGTAGTCAACCAGATGATTGACAGTGCTGGGGAATCGTTTAAGACTGAAGAAAATGCCATTTTGAAAGAGCGAGCCAACCAAACTAGAAGACGACAGGAGTTGGAACAGTTTAGCGCGGAGCTTGATCGTCGGGAGCACGAGTTGCGTCGTCATGAGGCCGCTATCCTACAGAATGAGGTCGGGCGATCCCAGAATCTGAGCCACGGGCGAGCTCAGTATCCGACCGGAGACGAGCGACAAACACGTTTTGCTGAGGAGCGCGGTCACCCACGTCATCCGGGCAATTACCCTATGCATAATGCTTTACCAGGTGTCCAGTGCACACATTTCCAGACCAACGACCTGAGTGGAGGCGCCACTTCGGTTCCCTTGGAAGGTACAGCCATAAACTATAACTGTCCCCGATGCGATATTGGGGGATCGGCAACGACTTTCAACAGCGTTGAGTTTCTCCAACGCGATCAAGGAGTCGAGCCTCAAGATATGCCGTCGGTATGCGACGAGTCCCAACTCAAACACCAGTGGTGACGTGACGAACCCACGAGCGAGTCGAGCAGCCCGAAGAAGTCCTGTTGGATGGCGGAGCCACTCTAGCATCTACTCTGCCCACTAGTAGCATGGCGAGCACACATTAGAATAAATAAACAATTCCTTAAACGCCCCATCGTTTGCTTTCTTTCCTCTTGCTCTGTCAACTGCAGAAGTTTTAATGTAGTTTTAATTTTCTAGTAATCACGGGAGGAGGGGACTAACTTGGCAGCCACACTGGTACTGGTTCTGGCAAAAATCTACGCACTTAGTGCTCCCTCAGCCTTCTCAATTACGAAGAAACAGCCATGATGCAAGAAAGACCGCACCAACTCAGAAGACGACAGGAGCCGGAACAGTTTAGCGTGAATCTCCAGTCTCCGACCGGAGACGTCCTGCAAGCATATTATGCTGAGGAGCGCGGTCATTCGCGTCATCCGAGCAAATAACCTGTGAATGCTTTTTTACTGCGACCCAGTGCACACATTTCCATGGAAACGACCAGAATGCAGGCGCCACTTCGGATACCATGGAGGGAACAGCCATTAATTATAGCAACTGTACCCGATGCTATACGAGTATTGAGGCAAGCCCCAGTGGTGATGTGACGAACTCCCGAGCGAGTCCAGCAGCCTGAGAAAATCCTGTTGGACGGCGGATGCTTTCTTTCTTCTTGCTCTGTCAACTGCAGAAGTTTTAATGTAGTTTTAATTTCCTAGTAATCGCGGAGGGAGGGACTAACTTGGCAGCCACACTGGTACTGGTTCTGGTAAAAATCTACGCACTTAGCTGCCGCCTCAGCCTGTCCTGCTAGCCGCAAGGAGAACAAAACGACTTGCAGCAACAGCTTTGTTCGTAATTAGTTTTTAAGTGAGAGTTTGTTGAAGAGGGACAGCGGCCAATGTGTGTGTGTGTGTGTGTGTGGATGCAGTTAAGAACTTCGTAGCAGTGGTCGTCTGCCGATAATGGTCCTCTGTCTGCAATTGATTCCCCTGCCAGATAACATAAATTTGTGTTAATCGATGACCAAAGTTATGCAGAGTGCAGAAGCACAAGCGCAACTAAAACTGTATCCTGTATATAAATTTCAGAATTTTGATAGAACACACATTGGTTGCTATATTATACATATGCTCGCACACCCTGTGCCCCACGTTCATTTAAAATGGAGGGTAAAAAACCGGGAAAAAACTTCCAAGCAGTTGTGAAAAAGTTGCCAAAATTTCCCCTCCTTCCCTTGCGTCTGCTGCATGAAAATCGCTGAAATATGTAGCACCCACTGTCGATGCAATTGGCAGAGGGGGACAGGACAGTACAGTGGCAGGGCCCGAGGCACAGAGAGAACAAAAAAGAAAGTGTGCGAAAAAAAGTTTCCCCCTTGGCTTTAATGATGCGCACAGACACCAGTCAAAGTTCCAGGCCATACTATATGGAGGAGAGAAAAAACGGGGAAAGATTTGAGAAGGTGACGGGGAAGCCCAGCCAAACTCTTACATTAGTGGTCACAAAATAAACGACTAATTTTATGGGCTCATGCGACTGCATGTTTGGTCCTCCAACAATTTCCGAACCGACCATCAAGCGCAAGACTACAAATGCAAAGTCGCGGTGGTAAAGCATTTATGTGTACCGCCAGTCCAAACAATTAAGGACACACCAGACGATAAAGTAAACATCTGCGACCACAATCTTACTGCTGATTGTGGAAATGGGCAAACAAAAGTTGCATTTTAGCGGCACTCTACAAACTATCCGGCCCCTACATAACAAAAAATTATTACCCACTAGAGTCTAAAATTAAAGGCTTGTTGTCTTTATCACATTCTGCAACATCTCCAACGACGCTTAATGGGTTTCTCCTGGTGCCAATGACAACTTTGCTTGGGGCGGTTTACTTCTGGAGTGAAGCACAGCACTTTGGAGACACCCAGGTCCAGCACCTTGCCAGGCTCCACGTGAATCTGGAAAGGATTTCAAACTTTCAAAAAACTATGCTGAAAACGCCCGATCTACCGTGAAAGATCGCTGGTGAAGAAGAGTGGTGGTGTACAGTTTAAATTTAACGCATTTTTTAATTTAATTTTAATATTTCACAGATGTATGCATAATTCATATAACGAATCGTCCGATGTTGATCCAGAGGGGGCGTTTTACTCGCGCAAGCCAGACATTATGGCCGTCGCTGCCTAGTGGACAGGACAGCACAGTGGAAAATATAAATGGCCTCTGGCTTGTACGCTGCGCCCCACAGATATATTGGCAAGTTAAGTGTTACTTGGGGGGTGGGCGCAGGACACAAGTTACAAGTTAACAAGTTACATACGTGTCCATTACTTTTTCCTTACATAAACATTTATTTACACTGGGGGAGAGTCGACATTTTGCTTGGAAAAATGCCGCTTGGCAAAGGTTTCGGCCACAATGAGGGGGAAGACCAAACTGGCCTCGGCGTACACCTTAACAGGCGTAGCATCTTTGCGTATCTTACCCCAAGATATTGCCTCGTCTGGACGGGCGCCACTGTCGCTGCCATCGAATTCCGAAGCGGTGTTGATGAACACCGAGTAGTCGGCGCCATTTCGCATCAAATTTGCATTGCAGATGTGATGCTTGATGACACCGCCACCCACAATGATCATGCCACTGTTGACGGCCTTGACGGACATTGTGTTGAGGCGTCGCAGATCGGAGAGTATGTCCACAACCAGGCCAGGCTGACGGAAAGAGTGGAAGTACATCATATCACCAAGACTGCCATCTGTTAGTGCCGGACAAAAGACGGGAATTTGATTCTTGGCTGTCCAGTAGTAGATCGACCTGGGATCCGCAATCCTTTCGCCCAGTCGATTGATGATGCGAGATGGAGACCACACCGTGCCCTTGGCGCGCTGATCTTCGAGCATTTCATCGAGCAGTGGCATTAACCAGTCCTCAAACTTGCAGTAATTGTCGTTGGGGACCAGCAGATTGCCAATGCGATTGATTCCCCGGTCGCGCAACTCCCGTCCGTTGAGGTCGAAGGAACCCATGAATGTGGGGGCAAGGCATTTTATGAAATCCTCCTCCACGCCACCAGCGGTGGTTACAATGCAGTCGATCATCCGATGCTCGGCAAGGAAACGTATTGTCTCTCTCATTCCGGACGATACCAGGTTGGAGGTGTAGCCCAAAAATATGGTGCAACTGCTCCGTCGCCGAATGAAGTCGTCCGATTCATGGAGGTCCTCCTGCTCTACATCCAGCGGTTGAGCCCTGCAATCGAGCTGTCAGTGTTTAGTGCTTGAGTTGTCGATTGTCAGGGATTCAATTGGGCTCACCATTTTATTAATCTCTTGCATAGCCAGGCAGAGATTTGTGGCTTGGAATCCGGTGTTTTTGTATGATTCAAAGAGCTTGCTGTAATCCACGCCCTGGTTGAAATCATAGCCCTGAACCTGGGGAGTGCCCTCAGGAATGCGCTCGCTACGCTTCAGCACAGCATCTTTGGCTATTTCTGGTCTTTCTGACATCGCTTAGGTAAAAGATTAAATTCAAACAAATTGTATTGCAAATTCAACATGTGCCGTTGCTAGTGCCAGCCCTCGTTTATTGTCGCTTACCAACACACCGAAGCTATCGAACTATATATTTTGTTGGTATATTTACCTTTCTATATCACACACCTTGCAACTTGTTGGACTTGCGCCGATTGTATCGGTAAGCTGATCAATATATATCTGTTATTTATGAACGATGTAGATAACATCACTTACCATACATCGAACATGACGTCCCATTGGCTTACCAATGTTTTGTTTTGTTTAATTTTAAACCTTTTATCGATTACAGTATTTAATTGCTGATTGTCTTGCCACCACGTCTAGCTCACACACCTTGAAATTTGTATACTTTTCATAGTATTTTCTAGTATTTTTTAAGACGCGTTATGAACTCACTTCGATGTGCTAATCCAATCATGTAAAAATCGTGTAGAAATTACATTTAGAAACATGGGTCAGGCCACATCGAATACTAACTCGTGAGCGGCATCGAATTTCTGATCGTTTGCCATCAAAATCTAAACTTTTTCAAAATGTCGAGAAAAAGGCATTCCAAAAAGAGGATAGCGGAGGTTTTTCACACTAGCGCTTCCATGGGGCTTGTATGAAAAGAAAACGGCCAAGTTTGTCAACAAACTTACACATTTCCCCTTCAGGTGTCTCTTTTAATAATTACATGCAATTGTAGTTAACTTGTAGCAAATTAGTAGTTAGCGTGTCGTTACCATGTAAAAGAAATTATTTTTCTGGAAGTTGTAGTTGATCTTTTTTGTTTAAGCCTTATTCAATGAATAATTAAATGAAAATGAGAACATAAATCTAGCTAGTCTTGTGGGAAATTAATTAGTTTATCATAAAAAAATATATTTTGAATGCTGAGAGTGCTAGCTAGCTAGTAAAAGTAGACAGAATATCAAAATCAAGGAATATCGTTTCCTCATCCAATAATTTCCTTTGATTCAGATGTCTAGCAAACGAAGTAAAGAAAGCAAGCACTCCACTCACTCGAAGTGACTTTTTTCACATTAAATTTAAATTTACGGTAGGCTAATTATATTACACGCCGCACATTGCAAAATTATAAATGAACCCAATTTAGGACGGAAACGCAAGCAAACAAAGCGCTGAAATAACCCGCGAATCATCCGCAGTAGAAACGCCAGCGAAGACGAGGACGCCAATCATAGCAGCCAACAAAAATATAGAAAAATGATTAAACTCTTTACGCTGAAGCAACAAAAGAAAGACGGCGAACAAAAAGGGAGCGGTGGCCAGCAGAAGAAAGCATCGGCTGCCCAACTGCGCATACAAAAAGGTACGGGTGCTGTTTGGTTTAATTGTTTTTCTGGCCACTTCCTCATACAGATTTTCTTGCTCTTGCTTCTTTTGGACACAGATATTAGCGAAATGAACCTGCCCAAGACTTGCGTGACTGAATTTCCCGATGCCGATGACTTGCTCAACTTCAAATTGATCATTTCGCCCGACGAAGGGTTCTACAGAGATGGGCGCTTTGTGTTCAACTTCCGCGTGGGATCCAACTACCCGCACGAGCCCCCAAAAGTGAAATGTGCAACGCAGGTCTACCATCCGAACATTGATCTCGAGGGCAATGTGTGTTTGAATATATTGCGCGAAGACTGGAACCCAGTGCTGACCATTAACTCGATAGTCTATGGCTTGCAGTTTCTTTTTTTGGTTTGTAATTTGAAACAATCCTCAACTCAAAAAATCCTATATGTATGTACTCGAATGCAATGCTCTTATTTTAGGAACCCAATCCTGAGGATCCACTTAACAAGGAGGCCGCCGATGTCCTGCAGAGCAATCGTCGCCAGTTCGAGTACAATGTGAAGAAGGCGATGCGCGGCGGTTGTGTGGGCGAGACCTACTTCGAGTGCTGTCTCCTCAAGTGATATAGGAAATCAAACAGTCTTTTTAATTTAAACCTGCCTCCGCATTAGGAAGGATGATGTTCATCATGAAGACGAACAGCAGAGCAAATGAATGGCAGCGGACAACAGAATCAACCAATTATTGTAATAAAAGAAAGAAAAACCACTGCGTACACGAAGAAGAAAACAACAGTCGATTCGAGTCATCGATTTCTACTTTTTTTTAATACAATTAATTATTCAATTTAACACTTTCGCCCCCCTTCAGTCTCCTTAATCCTTACTCCCTTCATAGGTGTATGCTGTGCCTGGCCATCTGCATGTTCCGCCACAAGCAGAGATCGGCAACCGCCGCCTGTCGCCCGCCTTGCACATGTAAATCGTAGAGCCTGCTTATAAGACCCACGCGTATGTCCTCGGTGGGCAGGACCTTGAGCAGTTGCTGCACTAGATTTGCTGGCAGCAGGCGGAGCACAGGCGCCACTCGCTCTCCCCCGCACTCCACCAGCAACGAAATGAACTGATAGACAAAGACGGCCTTGGGCGACAGCTCATCGCCGCTCACAAATTGTAAAAATACACTGAAAATATGCTGAATACTTGACTGTAGGGGCTCCTTCAGGGTCTGGGGCGTTGCCCGCAGCTCAGTGCTGGATGATGGAGAGGCCAAACGTGGTCCTGCCAAGCCTCCAGCGTTATCTGTAAAGTCGTTGGAATTCTCACTGCCATCGCCAATGACTTTGCGCACCTTTGCTACATTGGTGGCCTGGTCCTCCTCATCATTGGAACGTGAACGTTTCTTCAGGCCACTGAAGGATGAGCAGGCCACACCGCTGCGAGTCTCCAGACAGGAGATGACACAGTAGACGCACAGACGCGCAAGAACCAATGACTGCGGCTCATTAATGTCCTCTCTGCAAACAATTTGGAAGGAAAATTAAGCAATGGGCTCCACTCCATATTTGTTGAGCAATTCGCTTACCCCTGGCGACGAAGCATAAGAGGAGGCACCACATACTGTAGTAGCGCCTCGGTGCCCTTCTCAATGTCCAGATGCATGACGGCAAACACAATGTCCATGGTTTTGGACATGTCCCGAATGTATTTGCAGGTGAGCAGCTGCTCGACCAGCTGCGTGGCCAACCACGCAGCACCACCGGCCAGGAGCAGTGACTCCAGGGTCTGGACCGCACGCACGGGCAGATGACCCGCCTCGGCCACGGTTTTCCACACCTCACGGAACTGTTCGATGAGCGGCGAGTGGGAGATGAGGCGGGACTTGGTGCTGGGGGCGGGATGGACATCGTGTTGCATTTTCCTTATGATCGGATAGGACAAGGCCAGTCGCTCCTTGGCATATTCCTGACTGGACAACTCCTCGCTAGTGAGGGGGGCCAGGAACTGCTGGATCATGTTGAGGGGCTTCAGCAGCTCCGTCTCCCGCACCGAATACATGTAGGCGCAGAGAAAGCTGGTTGCGCAGACGGAGAAGCTGAAGAGACGTCGCTTTATGTTGTCCAAAATGTTCTTCACGTCCGCCGACGAGAGGGTCTCCTGCTCCCAGGCAATCAGCACATGATGCAGCACTCCTGGCAGATTCAGGCAGGTCTCTTGCCAGCTCAAAGAGCACGGCTTCAGTTGTGCCGCCTCCGGCTTGCTCAGGCTGAGTAGCAGCTCATCCACCATGCTGTCATCGCAGAGCGCCAATATCTGGCGCGGATTCTTAAGCTTGTTTCGCTCCACCATGCACTCCCTCACCCACTTCTCAAAGAAGGAGTCCCCGCGATCGGACAGTACCACCTGAAATAAAGGAAACTCAATAAATATATCCTAAATTTTCACCGAGTATTCATTACATCTGAGCCATAGGTCTGCACGATACTTGTTAGCATCAGAAAGGAGACATCAAACAGTGTGGAGCGCGTGACACAGAGCTTGCCGAGCTCCGCAGGAACCGGCTTGGAGTTCTCATTGCACTGAATCAGCCGAGAGACAAACGTCTTCAGGCGTCCGTCCACAGTGGCCACTGACAGGATCAACTCGAAGCTGTTCCCCACCGGCACCTGGCACAGAACATTCACCATGTCCTGCACTTTATTCGTGCACAGGGTCTTCAGCACACCCGAGAGGGGAACCTCTGCGCGTTTGATGAAGATTATGTTGGAAGGCGTCTGCTGGCCATTGTCGCACTTTTTAAGCAGCAGCGAGGCAGCTTCTCTGTAGACGATAATTCGTTATTAGAAAACATTCTTCGGGGGAAAAATCTTGCATCGAGAAATCTTACCGCTGGCTGGCAAACTTTTTCACATGCACATCGTTTACAAGCTGCTGTTTGGTCCAGTCATTGAGCAAGAATTCAATCATATTGCACGAGCATTTGGTGTCCATAAAGTCGAGCAGTAGATTATCCTGAATGAGCAGCTCCAAGGCCTCCACTAGCTCTGGTATATAATCAGAAGGGGGCGGCTGCTCTCCGGGCACACGCTGCAGGGCATGCAATTGTTTGATAATATGCGGCATCTTGAAGAACATAAATGCCCCCCACATGGTGTCCGGACTGGTGTCGGCCACATTGCTCAGGGTGAGGAAACCCGCTCTTATAATCTCGTAGAACAGACGTGTATTTGTGTAGCGCTTCAGACGCTGTAGCATTTGCAACTCAGCCACGTAGTAGCTGGTCTCCTTGCAAGGTATAAGCAGCACCTCCACGGCCAGCAGAGGTTGGATACAGTAGGAGATCTTCTCTGCCGGCAGCACATTCAGCTTTTGCAAATCCAAATGTGAGACATCAATGTAGGCGAACTGTTGCAGCTGCTGCTCCACTCCGGGAGAGCTGAGAGTGAAATTGGAGTTGGTGAGGGATCCCTTGATGGCCGCATACTTGTCCCGTATCTTTCCGTGGCACTCGAACTCCTCGCGAGAGCCCACATAGAGCATGGAAAGCATGAACTGATGCTGGCTAATCCGATCAATAACCACACAGGTCTGGTCTAGCATATACGACTGCTCGGCGCTTATCTCCCCGTACAGCTCATAGTGCTGGACCGTGCGTGCAAAGATCTGGAGCAGCCAGTAGATCAGTTGGACCACAGCGCCCGGCAGCACAGCCTCCTCCGATTTGATGCTTCAAAGCACAGTTGATTCGATTAGAGGGATTATTGATAACAGATTAGAGAGAGATACTCACCGACAGGTCACACCATCCACAATGCTAACTAGAAACTCCAGCAGCGATGTGATGCAGTAGACACGCTCCAGTTTATCATATCTGGCTATGCAGCGGAGCACTGCGGCATGCGAGACGAGGTGGGCACACAACGAGTGCTTCAGGTAGTTGAGTACCAGCTGAGAGGACAAAAATCATAATGGTTTAAGTTAAGGTCAAATATCAAGGAGGTAACACTCACTGGATTGGCTGTGGAGCCAATCAGCGCCTGCTGCATGAGGCAATCGGCCAAATTGTACACATCTCCACTGACGCCTCGGGGCAGCACCTGAAAATCGGAGGCACAATATTTATTAAATTATAAAACATCTATCTATGCCTTTCCTGTCAAGTCTTCATAGGGATTCCTGCCGAATCTCCAAACCAATCAGTGCTATCCTAACTATTGTAAAACTGACATGGTAAAAAGATCAAGTCTCCTTATTTCTGGTCTATTTATTCTGAATTTTGGTAAGAATATGTCCCGCTCTATGTCTCTATGTCTCTTGAGCAACCGCGCGCTTCTGCGAAGACGCATCACATTGGCCGGACTATACACAGGCCGCTGTCCCCTGAAAGCTGAGAGAGGGTACGCCGCGTACCAATTTAAACAACCCAAGACATTTTACTATCCAGATCGTAAACAAGAAGCGGAACGTAAGAGTGGCGTTGCCACTGAACAAGCGCAACGTCAGCCCGAAGATGGCGGCAAGCCAAAAGACTTTTACTACAAGGTCCTAGGCGTCGGCAAGTACGCTACCAGCAAGGAAATACGCAACGCCTACTTAATGCTAGCCAAGCGCTATCATCCCGACAAAATGAGCTCGGGGAGGTCCCTGAAACACTTTCAAGAGATCTCCAATGCCTATCATATTCTGACAGATGAAAACAAAAGGCTGGAGTACGATCAACTGGGGGGTGTCAAGGACGAGAAGGCGTTCCTCGAGCAGGCAACTGTGAATCCGACGATCTTGGGGCAAAGGCTGGACGAGGCTAAGAAACTTCAGGCGGAGACAGACGCAAACGATGGTGAGCTGTCGTGTCAATGTGTCCTTGGAACCCCTAGATTAAATAGTAGTCTCCCCTCCCGTATAGAAATCAATAATCTGAAGCAGCTGAAAGGCAAGAGCTTTGAATTGAGTCTTAGCTTCGAAGAAGCCGCCAATGGGTGCAAGAAGCGCGTGAACATACGCTACCTGCGGAAGTGTGGCAAGTGCGGCGGCAAGTCGCAGTTGATGACGCATCGTGATGTCGGGAAGGAGCCATGCCGACGCTGCAATGGCGCAGGCAAGGTGACCAAGCGGACGGTGACCTTTACGGCCGAAAAGACATGTGAACACTGTAAAGGAAAGGGGTTCATCAACCGCCGCGACTGCGAGCCGTGTGGCAACCGCGGCTTCATAGCATCCGGTGTCGAGGTGCTGGTTAAGGTACCGCCTGGATCGAAGGACGGCGATGTTATCACCATCCAAAACCCGAATACCCAAGAACGTGTTAACTATCGCCTGGTGGTCGAACGCAGCGACTACTTTCGCCGAGATGGCCTTAATGTCCATAGTGACAAGCTGATAACTATATCGCAAGCCATTTTAGGCGGCAGTTTCACTGTTCGCGGCCTCCACGAGCCTGTGGAAATACGCGTTGACCCAGGAACGCAGACAAATAGTGAGATAATAATCAAGAGCAAGGGCATACGCTGCGAGAATGGAGTGGGCAACCACGTAGTAACTTTGAAAGTTTTCATACCTACAAAACTTTCAATGAAGCAGCGTCTTCTGATCCTGAGTTTAGCCCAGGCAGAAGACCCAATTTTCGATCGGCAAAACCTCAAAGACAAATAGCATAGCGCTTCAAAACTAATCTTGTTAAATTTTCTGTTAAATTACTCTGTCAATTACTCTGTTAAATAATGTTTAAATTAAGTATGCATTTCAAACGACAAACTATTTGGTTGTTGCTTGCCTTCTTTATGTTGATGCCCCATTGAGAGTCCGACCAGCGTTCTCGCCACGCCACATAGATGAGCTGAAGGATTTTGTTGTTCTCCTTCATATCCCTCGCTCAAACTCCACTCTCCTTCCGTGATGCAGTTTCTTCTTTATTTAAAATTTTTAAGTAACTAAATTTTGTTACTTTTCAGTTGTTTTCTTTTTTTTAGAGCACCGCACCGTAGTGTGACCGCGGATTTATCGATTAAATATACCGTCCCACCCTCAGAAATATACCGAAACATACCGCCTCATTATCAAAATATACCGTAAATATACTGACGAATTCATGCTGTATCATACTAGCTATATAGAACATTTAGCCATGCCCACATAATTTTATACGATTGATGAATCAATTTTCTACTTGATTGGTTTAATTTAAGTACTTGCTTTTATTGGATTTCTATATGACGATGAAAATTAAATTTAATAGATTGATGAAATTGACCAAATATACCAATATATACCGAAATACCGTAAATATACCGTCGGTTTTGACGTCAAAATATACCGCACAGTGCTGGAAAATGGTTAGAGCTGAGTCGGGTTCTTTGGCGCCATAAAGTGAATTTAAATTCGGTAAGCATTAATTTAAATAATTTATTGAATACAATAAAGTTGCATATGAGTTTCCTTTGTAAACAGTTTTTAAATATTATTTTCTAAAATATTTGACTTTGTACAAAATACTATTTATATATGCCGAAAATTGTTCCTCCATTCCACACTCAAATTTGTTCACTCCTTTTTTGGTTTGTTTTGCAAATGTTTGATTTAAATTGAAAATGTATTACTGAATGTGTGTAGTGACGACGTGCGCTTAGTGTAAGATTTTTTTTTGATTCGACTAAACAGTAGCTAGGCAATAAGTTTAAATTTATATGGATTTCGGTGGATTTTTTAGGAAATTAAAGCAGGGCAGCAAAATAAAACTAATTTGCAAAGGCCGTTTATTTGTAAAAAGCAGGGCAAATCAATTCAATTATGAAAGCAAATCTATAAATCGTTTTAAATTATTAATTAACAACTAACTTAAGAGTGTATGACAAAAAGCATTTTCCTATTCCAAAGGCAGCGCCACGAACGGGACGGGGGCTTAACAACTAAGCATTGCTTGTATTTATAATGGGTTTAAAGAAAAAAGGAGAAACGCGACACGCGAGTGGTGTCCCTTTTTGCTGGTAAAAAACAAGGAAGCGGTCGCCATTGATAACATTAAAAGCTAAATTAAGTCTATGACCTATTTATTTCTTTACTTAAATATGCTTGACGCCACACAGAGGCTACTACCGTCGCCCAATCTTCATCGTCGCCAGCTGCATGAGCTCCAAATTGCAATCACTTTAGCATCATCGTCCGTAGTACTTTGAGGAGTGAGTTTGTTGTTATGGTTTCTGATCTATTTCTCTGGTTGTTCGCGAATTGAATTTGCATCTAGGTGGATGAAGGTCCTCCACCCACTGGTTCGTCACCCTTTACGGCCGAGGCGTAGCTAGCCCCAGCGCTTCCACTTCCGCTGGCACCGCCACCGCCACTTGTGGAGCTGCTGCCACCTGGCTTGTCAGTGGCAGTCGATTTTCCATCAGCACTTCCACTAGCACCAGCACCAGCACCACTGGGGGGAACGCCAGCAGCACCGCCGATGCTTACGCCACTGTTCAGGCCTAGAGTTTGAGGTGAATCAACTAGAGAATTTGTTTCGATTGTTTGTGTCGGTTAGGATGTGTGGGTTGTTGTGGATTTGTGTGCAAATTGCAAACTGTTTTAAGCACCTTTAATATCCATGGCATAATGATCTTCCAAACGTAGATCGTGTCGCTTGATCAACTGGCACTCGGCACCCTCGATAGATGGTATGGAATATACATACAGATAACCATCCTGCGAGGCAATCAAGAGTCTGCAAAAATCGTAAACAATTGATTTGATAATGCCAAACCATGATAGGCCATGCTTTTCTTTCACCTGAGCTGTTTTTGTATCGTGGTAATGGCGCACATGCGACGCACTCCTGCCTCGGGCAGTGAGACCGAAGCAAAAGCTCGTCCTTGGCTGAACACATCGGTCACCTGCGTTGGCAGGTAGCTGGTGACCGTTTTGCTTAAGAATCTAAAAAACGAGTAACTTGCATGAGAGAGTAGATTTTGGTGAGTTGAGTGGTTGGTTGGTTGGTGGTTTGATTGTTGTTGTTGTGGTTGTGGTTGGTTTTTTTTTGGTGGTTTTCGAGAAAATGAAAGAAAAGAAAAATAGATAAATGTCAAGCGCCACACGACAGAGAAGAAAAACAAGAACACAACTAAAAGCAAGAAAATAATATGTTTGGGGGCCCTACGCAACACACACACACACCCTCACACACAAATAAATGAAAGATTCGATAGAAGTCGAGAGTGTAGAGTCTGGAGTGGAATGAAATGAATTAAGCGGAGGACATATGTTTATAGTAGATTGTGTACATAACACCAACCCTCCCCATGACCTATTTTGTTGCCCATAAAACGTACAAATACAAAACAGCTAGCTAGAACACAGGACCAACTGGTGAATCCAACACCGCTTACCCCATCCAGTCATCGGTCGATTGCTTCCCATGATCAGCTGTCTCGGCGGCGCTGCGATCCAAGCGAAAGATGTGCACAGTCTCCGTGTTGGAGCTGGATACCAAGTATTCCGAACAGTTGCTGAACGAGAGTGATACAATGGAGACGCAACGTTTGAGGCCACGTCGCAGCTCAAACAGTCGACTGCCATCCTGGGAGCTGAATACGCGTATGACCGTGCCGCGTTCGCTGGCTGTGGCTATTTCCGTGCCCGAGGGGCTGAACGCTATGGCCGCCAATGGAGTGTCGTGGGCGGGTATCATAGTTTTGGCGTGCAAATTGATGGCATCAAAGATCTGCACTTCGCCGGAGGTGACGCTGCCCGGATAGGCTAGATAGCAGTGCTCCGAGGATGACGATAGGGCGCAGAGACCCAACGGATTGCAGGGTGTGTCCCGGATGGTGTGCACCACTTTCATGTCCTGTATGTTGTGAATGTAGAGCGACTCCTCAAGGCAAACGATCAGGCGCTCTCGATTCAACTTCACCGCCAGAATTGTGTTCGCATACGAATAGTTGCAGATCTCGCTCTGCTTCTTGAAGTGGCACACCTTCAGCTTACGCGGCGCCCGCTGCGACACAATGGCCACCAAGGAGCTCTCGAACAGGCGCTCGATAAGGAACAGCTCATCGCTCTTCGTGTGATATATCTTGTCCAGTGTCGAGTCCACAGACCCCAGGCTGTACAGGCTGTAGCCCCCGCTGGTGGCGACTGCAAGTGATCTAGAGGGGCAGAAAAAGACACATAAGAATGACTAAGATCTGCGATAACAGTTCCTTTGTCAGAGGCTGCTGCCTTACGTTATGTTTTGATTGAAGTTCACAAACACTTCGCCCGCATCCACGTCGGGTCGGCCCAGCAGGCTCATCATCGTTGTGCTGTGTGCAACGGGACTAAGGAGCTGCAATAAAAGATTAAGCAACAAAACAAAAAACTTAAGTTGTGGAAGCCATTCCCCATTGCAGCATAGGTTTTAGCCACTGTTTTAGTGCGGTGGCTAATATCAAAGCAGGCAGCGCAATAAATATGTTAATAAATACATCAACATGCACGTACATACATGTACATACATATGTCCGAATGTACACGTTGGGGATAGGGGCTGCTGATAAAAGCAGCAACAACAAACAAAACACAAAATCTACGTGACTAGGGAGCGTTTTTTTACCTCTTTGTGTAGGAAACGTTTTCTGTTCGCTTAAATTAATATTTGCGGGACCACACTTACGAGTTGCAGGGTGAATATTTTACTGAAGCTACGTAATATTTAATGATATTTGGATTTTTTTGTCGCGCAATTGTTTTTGCTCTGTTTTGCACACACACACACAATCATCCACACATATGCAGCTTGGACAGCAACAGAGAAACCAGGGCGGGCAAATTAAAGAGAACCCATGGTTGTATTTTACAACTAGTCACCGACAGTGCTGTAAAGTGCGGTGGCGACATTCCATCTGCCCATCCCTAGGAGTGTTTCTTCTTCTCACTGCATAAAATTTTTTTTAATCTTTTTAATATGCATATTTTTGTCTGAAATAAAGCAAAAATGAGCAGAAGAAAAACCAGAATTTGGAAATAGTGTGACGTGTGGCTCTGCAAGAGAAGATATCGTGCCTTGTTCGAGAGTGTAATAGCCTAGCATAGAGTAAAATCGATGCTTGATGCTGTCTGCAGCGCACATCTTATGGGGAAGTGCATGTGCAATATTCATAGTTCTACATAAGCAATAACATAAAAATGTCTAGTAGTAAAGGCAGTAACACGAAATTTTAAACCGCGTATGATCAACGGAAAGCTACTTAACCATTTCGAATTGCCCAAGATGCAGACAGACAGATACCTAAAGCAATAACAAAGTGCTCGAACCAAAATAAATACATATACATATGCATATGTACATACAAAGCGATATGTATTGCTGTTGATTTTTTTTCGTTTATTAGCCATATTCGTGTGTACTTTAAAAACTCTACTTCTGCTGATTACACAAAAGAGATCCTCAACGAATACTTTATGTAAGTATGTAAACAGACACCTTGCGGGCTTTTAATTGTGACGTTTGCTAAGCGTGATAAGGAAATGGTTGGCTTATCTTTCATCTCCAACCTGGCTGCTTCTGGCCCCCATGTCGCCACCTCCTACCCCCCATTGTCTTTGCTTGCGCGCTTTTTTTTACTTTTTCTAATCAGCGTCGGGTCAGCGCTGTGCGTCGTGATTTGTAGTACCGTTAGCTTTAATTTTTGGTACTCCACGCACGGTACCGTTATCACAGTCTGCTGTGTGCGAGCGTGGGCCGTTTTTGTACTTTTCCAGCGTTCGTTGGATGTTCCGTTCTGTTCCGTTCAGTCAGCCCACAGTCCGCGGAAGAGAAACAGAGACCAAGTAGGTTCGCAACCCATTGCACTCTTAATTGCATTTTGCATATGTATGTTTGGATTCGCATGTGTGTGTGCACCTTCCCCTCATTCTGATTAGGCATTGGTGCTGCACAGTGGTTGCAAGTCACGCGAAACACCAATAAAAAGAATATAATCTCGGCATTTCGAGTATCAGTGTAACTGAACCACAGTGCGGCGCGTTTTGTTCATTTATTTTGTAGCGCGATAAATTAAACTATTACCCTCTTAATCCTCCAGCTCCAATTCTCGAATATGTCCGACGGAGTGAGCATCTTACACATCAAGCAGGAGGTAGACACATCCTCGGCCGGAGCAGCCTGCTACAGTCCCACCTCAAAGGCAACGACAGCGCAAAGCAACTCCTGCAACAGCAATAGCGGAATGAAGTCCTCCCCGTCCGTGTCACCAGAGCGTCAGCTGTGCAGCTCAACGACTTCCCTATCCTGCGATCTTCACAACGTTTCGCTGAGTAACGACGGCGACAGCATCAAGGGCGGCGGAGCGGGCAGTGGCAACGGCGGCGGAGGATCGGCTATCAATGCCAGTGCAAATGCTGGATCCGTTCGTGATGAGCTGCGTCGCCTGTGCCTGGTGTGCGGGGATGTGGCGTCTGGATTCCACTATGGTGTCGCCAGCTGCGAGGCCTGCAAGGCCTTCTTCAAGCGCACCATTCAGGGTAACATCGAGTACACGTGTCCAGCGAACAACGAGTGCGAGATAAACAAGCGGCGACGGAAGGCTTGCCAGGCCTGTCGCTTCCAGAAGTGCCTTCTCATGGGTATGCTCAAGGTAACCTTGACGATCCAATTTCTAATCATTCTTTGTTATTAATTATTCACCAATTTGTGCTATCGCAGGAGGGCGTGCGTTTGGATCGGGTGCGCGGAGGGCGGCAAAAGTATCGACGGAATCCCGTCTCGAACTCGTATCAGACTATGCAGCTGCTCTACCAGTCCAACACCACGTCGCTGTGTGATGTAAAGATACTTGAAGTGCTCAATTCCTACGAGCCGGATGCCCTGAGCGTGCAAACGCCATCACAGCAGCCGCACACGACCAGTGGCTGCAATGATGAGGCCTCCTCCTCGTCGGGTAGCATTAAGCTAGAGAGCAGTGGCGGCGGCGGCGGCGGTAGTAGCAGTGCGGGCGTCACGTCAAATGGAACATGCATTTTCCAAAACAACAACAACGATCCCAATGAGATACTCAGCGTGCTGAGCGATATCTACGACAAGGAGCTGGTCAGTGTGATTGGCTGGGCCAAGCAGATTCCTGGCTTTATAGAGCTCCCCCTCAACGATCAGATGAAGCTGCTGCAGGTTTCGTGGGCGGAGATTCTAACACTCCAACTGACGTTCCGATCGTTGCCTTTCAATGGAAAACTGTGCTTCGCTACCGACGTCTGGATGGACGAGCTGTTGGCCAAAGAGTGCGGCTATACGGAGTTCTACTATCACTGCGTTCAGATTGCCCAACGCATGGAGAGGATATCGCCCCGTCGGGAGGAGTACTATTTACTGAAGGCTCTTCTCCTGTCCAACTGTGACATCTTGCTCGACGATCAGAGTTCCCTGCGCGCCTTTCGCGACACCATACTAAATTCACTGAACGATGTTGTCTACCTGCTTCGCCACTCCTCCGCGGTGTCCCATCAACAGCAGCTGCTGCTCATCCTGCCCTCGCTGCGGCAAGCAGACGATATTTTGCGACGCTTTTGGCGCGGCGTGGCACGCGATGAGGTAATTACGATGAAGAAGCTGTTTCTGGAAATGCTCGAACCGCTAGCCAGGTGAAAGAAACAAAAATAGAAGTAGAAGTCTAGTTGATCTAGTTGATAAGTCTGGGTGCAAATATAGTCATAAGATTGGACGTACTCCTTGTATACTAGTGTGCCTAGTGTGTGTTTAAGCCCTAGAGTAAGCATTGTAATTGTACATACAATAGTTAGTAAAGTACTTGTCCGGGTATGATTAGATTGAAAAGAAAAACGATCTTTTTTTTAATGGTTTACAACACCCTACTTAAACCTAAAATGGTGGTGTGGTTTTACACTAGAATTTCTAGAACGATGCAAATACCTTCCAAAAAGGAATGCATACAGGGCAAAGGATAGGATTTAGAAAGCCAAGGATTACGCTGCTTCTGTTCCTGTAGCTTCTTAGATCTAATCCCTTTTGTTATGTATGGATTTTGGATCCCCATTCCCCCACCAATCTGATCCAATCCATGAGCTTATGGCTTAAGAGGCTTACAATTAGTGCTATATCGATGGTCATATTTACATTTTTTTGCAGACTAGAGACGTTGCGTTACCAACTCCAATGGTATTTTGGGTTTGGCATACAGGCACACACGAATTTACACTACATATAGGTCTATATTTAGGGGCGACTTCGCTGCAAGTCGGGCGAATCGAAGTACTTGTTGGAGCTCTCTTGGAACCGGTCGCTGCGCGCCAGTTCGTTGCGAAAGTAGGAGATTGTCTGCCGCAGACCCCTTTCGAGCGGAACCTTTGGCTCCCACTTCAGATAGTGTCTGGCCCGCGTAATGTCCGGTTTGCGTCGCTGGGGATCATCCTCCACGGCTTTGGTCTGCTTAATCGGACTCGGTCCGCCCACCAATTGCTTGATGATTTGGGCAAACTCCTCGATGCTCTGCTCCACGGGATTGCCCAGGTTCACCGGCTGAGTGTAGTTGGATGCCATTAGTGCTATCATCCCATCAACCAGATCCGAAACGTACTGGAAGGAGCGCGTCTGCCGGCCATTGCCATAGACAGTGATGGTCTCGTTGCGCAGAGCCTGTAGGATGAAATTGGACACCACACGGCCATCGTTCATGTGCATCCTCGGTCCGTACGTATTGAAGATACGGGCCACGCGAACTTGGACTTTTTCCTGCGGGTAAACAGAAACAACAGATTGGTGAGCGATGGTATAGAAATCTTATATCATGACGAACTGCTCCCATGCGGAACGTGAAACTTTGCACGCCAATTAGTGGCTGGCCGCTGGCTGATTCAGCATTCACAGCATTCCAATTGAAATCGTTTAATGCTTGAGTGCAGATCAAATCAGGAAAATACTGCTTAATTTCTGGATGCGAGCCAGAAATGCAAGTGACGTCGAATCGATTTACGAACATTCACGTACCTGTTTGGCATACGCATAGCTCAGGGTCTCGGAGACACGCTTTCCCTCGTCATAGCAGGCTCGTGGTCCAATTGGATTCACGTGGCCCCAATAAGTCTCCGGCTGCGGATGAACTGTCGGATCGCCGTACACTTCCGAGGTGCTGGCAATCAGAACCTTGGCCATCACTCGCTTCGCTAGGCCCAGTACGTTAATGGTGCCCATGGTGTTTGTCTTGATGGTTTTCACCGGATTATACATGTAGTGCGGTGGGGAGGCCGGCGAGGCCAGGTGATAGATCTCGTCAATTTCAATGAACAGCGGATTAACAATGTCATGGTGGATGAGCTCAAAGTTCTCGTGTCCCAGCCAGTGGGCCACATTGCGCTTGCGACCGGTGAAAAAATTGTCCACCACAATTACTTCGTGACCCTGGATCATCAGATCATCAACGAGATGGGAGCCCACAAAGCCTGCTCCTCCGGTGATGAGGATTCTTTTGCGATTCTTGTAATTAAGGTATTTGACTTTGGGATATTTGCGAGGCGTGCTGGTCTGGAGCGAACGGATTTGCTCTTCTAACTGGGCCAATTGCTCTTTGGTGCGCTGCAGCTCCGCACGCTGCTCTTTGATAAGGGAATTGTGGGCATCGTAGGCGTTCTGCAGGCTTCTTTGTATAGCATCTTCCGTGGGTGGCCACTGGCCCTGCTGCTCCTCCTCAATGGGTCCGGACAGCCGTCCCACCACCCCCACACCACCAGGCATTCCCACGGTGGAGGCACTGATCGCTCTGTACAAGTAGACCACCAGCAGCAAGGAGAACGATGCTGCGGCGACTATTTTTAGGCGCTTCTTTGTTGCCGTCATCATCGTGACGATGACGTTTGGCTTGCTTTGTGAGAACTAGACTGCTTCCCAATGCTTATCAACGATTGAAATCGCCACATTGCATTCTTAAACTATAAAACTATATTAACAATTTAGACAATGTTATCAGGCACCGAAACGATATCGATAAATTTGTTACTGAAAGTATTTGCAGGGCTAGGAAATGACTTTCAGCCCCAAAATAAATACCAACTAAGTGTATAAAATACTATTAGTATTTTTGAGTCAGCTGCTTGTAGTTTTTGCGATTCATTGCAATTTTATATTTTGTTAAAATATTTTCACAATCAACAATTAAGAAGTGCAGAACATGCCGAACAACAAGCCAGCCTCATCCGATGTGGACGAAAATGCTGCACAGGACCTTACGCAGGCGGTCAAAGAAGTGACGGCAGCATCGGAGGAAATGTTGGAAAAAGTCATTGCCGGCTTAAAAATGCACGACTCTGAGAACGAGAATGAGGCTTTGGCGCAGGAGACCACAAATGGCGCTACCTCTGCGGCGGCTGCAAGTAAGCTTTACCACTCCCACTCCCACACCGAAAACACAGACCATCCTTAAAATTACAAAAATGAGGTTAGGTTTGGTCAGGAATCATTTTTCGCGGTGGGAGGAGCATAGCATGCCTATGATATTAATATATTCTAATGAATAACTACATCCGATTCCTTTTCAGGCAAGCAGCAGGCCTTACTCCAGGCTGTCTCTGATGTGGTGGCTAGCCGGCAGGCGAAAAAGTTTGCCTTTTGGTCCACACAGCCAGTGACAAAGCTGGATGAGCAAGTGACCACCAATGAGTGTATTGAGCCGAACAAGGAGGTCGCCACAATTCGAGCCGAACCGTACACTTTGCCCGGCGGTTTCAAGTGGGTCACATTGGATCTCAACGACACCAATGACCTGAAGGAACTGTATACTCTGTTGAACGAGAACTATGTTGAGGACGATGACGCCATGTTCCGATTCGACTATCAACCAGAGTTCCTCAAATGGTCGCTGCAGCCACCTGGCTGGAAAAGAGAATGGCATGTCGGTGTGCGCGTTGAGAAGTCCGGCAAGCTTGTGGGTTTCATCTCAGCCATTCCGAGCAAACTCAAGGCCTACGACAAAGTCTTAAAAGTCGTCGACATTAACTTCTTGTGCGTGCACAAGAAATTGCGAAGCAAACGTGTCGCCCCGGTCTTGATACGTGAGATAACGCGACGCGTCAACATTACGGGTATTTTCCAAGCTGCCTATACTGCCGGAGTTGTCTTGCCTACTCCGGTGGCCACCTGTCGGTACTGGCACCGTTCGCTGAATCCCAAGAAACTGGTGGATGTGCGCTTCTCGCACTTGGCTCGCAACATGACCATGCAGCGCACTGTGAAGCTCTACAAACTGCCAGATCAAACTAAGACCAAGGGATATCGTCGCATCACAGCCAAGGATATGGACAAGGCCCATAAGCTGCTCGAGGACTATCTGAAGAAATTCTCACTCTCCCCAGTATTCAGCAAAGAGGAGTTCCGTCACTGGTTCACACCCCGGGAGGGCATCATCGATTGCTTTGTGGTGGCGGATGAGAAGGGCAACATCACCGATCTGACCAGCTACTATTGTCTGCCATCCTCTGTGATGCACCATCCGGTGCACAAGGCTGTCCGGGCCGCATATTCCTTCTACAACGTTTCGACCAAAACCCCTTGGCTGGACCTGATGAACGATGCATTGATATCGGCCCGTAATGTTCAAATGGATGTCTACAACGCCCTAGATCTGATGGAAAACAAAAAGTACTTTACACCATTGAAGTTCGGGGCCGGCGACGGAAACCTGCAATACTATTTGTATAACTGGCGTTGCCCGGCCATGCAGCCGGAGGAAATTGCCCTGATTCTCATGTAAGAAGACTCTACCACTCGCACTTTCTCACACCAGACCAGTCTTTTCTACATTCTCGCCCCGTTCGAATCACGTTGACCAAATTCCCCACATCCCGCCAGCTGTGCTGAAAGTCTAACTTTTCTTTAATCACGTGCGGGCGGGCGCTTCTTTACTTAGCTTTTCTCTACACAGGCGATTTTCCAAGACGAAAAGTTCTTTACAAAAATTTGTTTATAAAAAATGCATTTGGCAATTGCCAGGCTTGAATATTTTGTACGAATAAAAACAACACGAATAATATGCGTATTAGTAATAATTTGAATTATGGAATGCATAGCGTATAATTTTTTTGTCAAATATGCTAATAAGTTTATTAATGAGTTTAAATTGTCCCGCTTAATTCTACAGTCTGGCAGCGCTTCACTACAGACCCACAAGAGTATAATAGCATTTAAGTTATATAGTATCAAATCGCACACTGTATTAACGAACAGCAACATAGATATAGCTATTTTGATTATTTTATATTATTTTAATAGACTTAAATTGTCGTTCTTTGTACTACAGTCTGGCAGCACTGAAACAGCTGATCGGTCTTGCAGCGCGCGCTGTATTGTATACTGCATGGTCACACTGCTGCTCTCTTGTGCGACGAAAAAATGATTTGGCTTTTCGTCTCCAATTCCGGCAGGAACGGTCTTCCGGCCAAAAATTGAGCAGACGGTATATTTACGGTATAGCGGTATATAAGATCAATTTTATCTATTTAATTTAATTTTAAAAGGTATATTTGAGAACAATGGTATATATATATATTTTTTTTGTTTCCAACAATTTCGATTGGCGCTCTTGAGGGCCTAATTGAGAGTTTTTGGCCCTCTCGCCCTCTTCAAATCGGTTAAGGAATATCTAAAACGAGGAATATGCCTAATACAATTTGAATTCGTCAGTATACTTACGGTATATTTTTAAAATGAGACGGTATATTTTCGTATATTTCTGAGGATCGGACGGTATATTTTATCGGCCCCAAAATTTTCGCGCGCTCACCTTCGCTCCTCGCTCCTCGCTCTCCTTTATTGTTCACACTTCACACGTTTTCTTCGCAATTTGTAAGTACTGGCTTTAACCGTAAACCGTAAACTGAGCGGGGCTTGCTGCTCTAGCTGGAGTGGCAGGCATCTCGCATCTCACTCGCTCTCATTGTATATATGCATTTTGTAGGTGTATTCGTTCTGGACGTGTGGCTGCCGCAGCATTTGTTGATGTTTTAATTTGTATTGTTAACCATGGACGATCCAATCTTTAAGCAAAAATATGAAAAGTACAAGCTGCGCGTCAAGTTATGGGAGAGGGACTTTAAGAAGAAGCATGGCCGTGTGCCCTCCAAGGTGAGATTGAAATTTGAGTGCAGCACGCATAGAATCTGCACTTTGTTTATTTGTTTGCGGACAGTACGACATACGCGAGGCCGGCCAGGACATCCGTGACTCCTACAAGATGTATTACAAGCTCAAGACTTCATTTCTGGAGGAGACCCTCAACGACGTGCTCAGCGAGGATGGGTTCGACGTACTGGAAATGTCGCAGGCAAGTGATCTGGGTGTCACCCTGCTGGACAGCGATATCAGCATGCAGAATGCACCCCAACTACCGATGGATATATCATCTATTGTGAATCAGCAAGCGCAGAGTGGAGGATTCTCCAATCTTGAGGAGTTGCCAAATCCGCAGGCCCTAACCAATCTCGTAAATCGTGATGAAAATCATGTGATAAGGAAATTCGAAGCCGTGGAAGAGCTGCAGCTCAATCAAAATGCCTGGGGCACAGATGTAAGCAAGAAGCAGCAGCCAGAGCCATTGGGCTCTTCAATACCACACGGTTCTGCTCAGCCAAAACAGCAGGCGGCCAGCTTAAAGCCTAGCCTTAGCGCCAAACTATTTCAATCCACACGCGGCTTTGCCAAGCGCAATCCCCGCAAGCCACTCTCACGCTGTCCCTCCAATGTGGGCGCCTCTGTCTCATCTGGTCGGCCAGGGCACGACGATCTCGCCGAAGAGCTGCCCGACTTTGAGACGATTCTCATACGCAAGGCGCAGGAATACAAAGAGAAAGAGTTGGCCATGATTGCCAATCCACATCTTGCCACGGATCAGCCCAAAGATGCCATCAAGACACAGGTGGACGAAGGCTGGCTGCAGAGGAACACTATGGAAAACACTCTTGACGCTGATATGCACAGCCCAGAGCTAGAGCCCAATAACAATGCCGATCATTTGCCCACGAAAGTCAACTACGGCCTGGCGAACATCGATCTGAGCATGCTGAGGCAAAGCAGGAGTTTGGAAGAACACCAGCAGCAGCCTGAAGTGAAGGCAGAGCCAAAGCAAGTGGCAGACACGGACGTGGTGGCGTTACCATCTGTTGAGCAGGAAGCGGACAGCGATTCCGACTCTGTTGTGGCCGAAAGTGACGAGGAGCCGGAACAGCAGGAGTATCGACAATTAGCCAAGCGACGAAAGGTTGTTCCTGAGGTAGAGCCAGAGGTACACGAAGCAGAAGCAAGCTCGGAACCGATGGAAATGTCCTTACCGGACCCCGAAGAAGAGACCATGCTCAATGACTTCTCTGCGGATGATGAAGAACAAGATGCCACCTACGAGCCGGACGGAGTAAAGAAAGGCAACGTAAAGCGTAAGCAAGCAGCCGGCAAAAGACAAACCACCCAGAAGCCCAAAGCAGAAAAGAAGCCAAAGGCAGAGAAGCAGCTAAAAGCAGAGAAGAAGCCAAAAGCAGAGAAGAAGCCGAAGGCAGAGAAAAAGCCAATGGCTGAGAAGAAGACCAAGTCAAAGAAAGCTCCTCCAGCTTCAGAGTCAGTGCCCGAACAAGAGGAAGAAGAACAGAGCCAGCCCCTGAATCCAGAAGATCTCAAATATATGCTTGCCCTGGAGGCGGGCGATGTAACCTCCGTGCCACGCATCAATCCCCGGGAACTGGAACTGGTAGACGAAACAGCCCAGCGCTATATAAGTACCTTTGCCACGCCCACAATGGCCGGAGGAGGAGGCAACTTCCCAGTGAATGAGAAGCGAGCTGCAGCCAGAAAAAAGCTAGAGGAGCGTGTGGCCTCGGGCAAACTGAACGAGAACTTTGTGACCATCAACATACAGAAAAAGAAATTTGTGAGA